CCTCAGCTCCCCATAGACAGCCTAAGCAGTCTCCTGAGATCATCCAGCAACAGCATCCTCTGACATACTCCCAAACAAAAAACCTCAAATTGGGCTTCCTGAGCCTCCAAAGGTGGCAGTGCGCTCCTCTGGTTTATCACAAGCCATTCACCCCACACTATGATTGTCTTAGTAAAGACCACATCTCAATCTTAGTGCTCAGGATGTCTGGCTAATGCAGTCACAGCCTAGCAGAAAACATTTTGATTGACAACCAAAATTCTGGATGATCTGTTTCCTGGACAGTTTCTCATGTGGGCAATTGGCACTGCCATCATCCAGTCACTCAAACCAGAAACCCGCCTACCCGCCACCTGGTCTGTCACAAAGCTCTCTCCTTACTTTCCCCCTTCGTCCTGACACAGGCACTGGGCCTCTGATGGCTCCTCTGACAGTCACATCCTGCCTGCACTGTCATCTGCTTTCTGAAGGAATGGTCTGGTCAGGTGACATCTTGGCTTCCCAGCTTCTCTTCCACCACCACCCCCGGGGGTGGATCTACCTGCAGACCACCACATGCGCTTCCTCAGTGCCCTGGGCAGTAGCTGGCGGAAGGGTGGGATGAGTAACAGAACAGTTAGCATTCCTCTGTGCACATGAAGTTGGACTGGATCTAGGATGATCTAACGATGACCTCTGACCGCAAGCTTCCTTAGCTATTTATTCCAGTACTCAGACATCTGGGATTTTCTGAATATACTACAGCATAAACTCTTTGGGATATACTGCCCTTAGAAACAAAACTCAGATTCTTTAGCAAGACTATGAGGATCCCCCAAGACCCTCACTGGCTGGCATTCTCTCTGGCCAATGCTTTTACCTACCTGCTTTCCTTCTATGTCACGCGGCATATAATGCAGCCACAGGCACACACTGCTGCTGCTTTGGGCTTTGCTCTCCACCCACCCTAAACACCCTTCTCACTTTTTCAAGGCGAAGCTCTAAATATACATTTCCCATCTTTTTCCCTCCACATCACCCTTTTGAAGCTGGCTTGCTCCCAATTAATCTGAAAAGAAAGCCCAGCAAAGATGGAGCTCAGGCGTGTTTCTGTCAACGGAACATGTAGCGTCGTGATTCCGACGCCAGAGACCCCCTTAGAGGCATAAATGTCTGCGTTCTTCATTCAGGATCAGCCTAATCTCCAGCATTAGCTTCTTTCCCTGTTTATTCCTTCTCAGCCACTCAAACGCTGTCATTGCTTGAATTTAAATCCCAGGTTCTGAAAAGGCTTGTGCTTCAGGATTTACAAGTGACGACTATTTTTGCTTGCTCCTGAGAGTTATGTGTGGAGAAGATAGCTAATTAAAATATCCTGGTGCCTGTCCCCCACGGCAATCTCTGTCTCCCACACCCGAATGCTTTCCAGTTCATGTCCTTGATAAGTGTTAGATCTCGATGACTGTGAGTGACAAAAGGTGCAAAAAGAACGGAAACTCAACAAATCTCAAACTCAATACATTCTATGCAAGTCTGTCACCACCAGAAAACTTGGCATTTGTTGGTCTATTTGTTAATTCAAGAAAATCCTACTGACTACCCACCAAATTATCATTCTTAATTGGGGTACTGTACTTTTAGGTGTTGACAATATTATTTTCTCCACATATTTTTGTGGGACTGAAGTATTTCATGGGAAGAAAGTTTCCCAGTCAAAATGGTCCATCCGTTGGGCCTTTTCCATTCCTACTGGAAGGTATCCTCTTTTACGTTGGTGGTCCAATGCTCTGAACTTCTGAGCAAGTCAAGAGCCACTGAGACTTTGGACCTGAAAAACTGGAGGTTTTCAAGGTATCAGTTTTAACTGATATTGCTTTTGTCAATATCAAGGAGCCATTTTCTTTCTGGCTCAACACTTTCAGGTGAGGATGTTTAAACATTCCTATTTTCTCAGGGAAGAAGAGAAGAACTTACTCTCAATACCAACGTCTTTGTGCCACTGGAATTTGTGGAATACATTCCTAGAAGAGCAAAATTCAAAGTTAGTCTTTCTGAAAAAATGCTGGAAATCATGCATAGTTTTTCATTACATTCATTTGAAGACCTCTGTAATTGTGTTTGCTTTTCATCAAGAGTGCTTGTTTCTAATCTAACTCAATATAGTTAGGAACACAATCAGAGCAGAGCTTCTTTGCATGGAGGTGGAGTGAGATCAACCCAGCTTTCAATGCTGGGTAAACCATGGAACCAAAGTTCATTACCAACCTAGATTATGTATATTACGGGGAAAGTAGGTTTCTTTCTTTCTTTTTTTTTTTAATTTCAGCTGCAGGCATTTGGTTTTGAAAACCCAAGCAAACAGTACAAGACCTCTGTGGCTGAAACAGCCAGTGAACCCCATGGTTCCATCAAGACATGATGCAGATGAATGATTCCTGACTCCCCCGCCCCATCAGATGACTACCTGTTGGGATTCATAGACAAACACAAGTACATCTCTGCTGCCCCTTCTTCCCTGTCTTCTTGGGTGAGTGAGAAGCATCCAGAGATTAAATTAACACGCAACCGAAGAATGTCATACAAACTTATATCAAAGTATGTCACACAAACTTATAAGCCAGTCGCCCACAGTGATAGAAACTGTTGCATCCAGAAAAGCCTTGCTCACTCACCTACCATGTCTGGCGCTGATGAAAGTGTTGTGCAAGGAAGGGGCCGCTTGGCCTTATCAGGAAGACTTACTCAGTTTCGGGATGAATCACAGGCAGCAAATAGCCACCCACAATTTTCCTTTCTGAATCATTTCCTTCCTACCGTCCTCCTCCTTCACAGAAAGGAAAGGCCAGTAACTCAAAGCTAATCTAAAGGAGTCTACTCCTTTTTAAAAGATTTACTTATGTGTCTGAATGGCAGAGTTACAGAGAAAATAAAAAGGAGAGACAGACCTTGTATCCTCTGGTTCACTCTCCCAGATGGCTGCATCAGCTAGGGCTGTGTCAAGGCTGAAGCTTCCATCTAGGTCTCCTTGGTGGGCAGCAGGGCCCCAAGCACTGGAATCATCTCCTGCTGCTCTCCTGGACACACGAGCAGGGAGCTGGATGTGGAACAACTGGGACTTGTATTTGCATTCATGTGGGATATTAGTGTGGAAGGTGGTGACTTATTCCATCATGGCATGATGCTGGTTCCTAGGAATCTATTCATTTTAAAAAGGAAGCCAACAGGTCCACTGCATACTCTTCTTTCTGAGCAGAGCAAGGAATGTGTAAGAAGGCAAGTGTGAAAGTGTTTCCAAACCCCAAGTATCACAGTTCACAGCCAAGCAACATATACAATATTTTTGTGTGACACATATACAAATGTGAGACCCCATAACACTTAAACAATGCAGGCAAGGTCAGACACCTAGAACCCAAAGCATTTTAATCACACACTCTTCTTTGCAAGTGTGGCACTTAAGCAGAAACCTGATTACCAAGAGCCCCCGATAGAGGGAGTGGCAAGAATCCATGAACCACAATGCCCAAGGGGAAGCATCCATCCTGCCACCCCAGTCAGTCACTATTCCACTCTGCACTTTATGCAGTTTACTTAACAACTAGGGAGGGTCTGGGAAACAAGGGGAAAAAAAGAAGAAAGAAAAGGAGTACTTCAGCTGTTATGAGTATATATGCACATAGAATACAATTGTCAAATAGGCAAAGGCAGCTGAAATTCTTTTTCTACCGTGTTACAGGTTACAGGTTCAATAAATCATACATAAACAAACTGGTAAAAATCAACTAGCTGAAGTAGTTATAGCTAATTTAAAAACTGTGACTTATAAAGAACATTTTGAAAGAGAAAACGCATTGTTTTAAATCATAAGCCCTTTATTAGCTACAATGCGGAACGTCCTGTTCAACATCAGTGGGTTTTGTTCTTGTTGGCATTTTCACTTATTCAACTGAAAACAAAAAGTCAGGAAAAATCACATGGTAACTAGTATTAAATTATCAATAAATGAGAGCAAGTACATGGACCACTCTTTGGGCTCACATGACATTGGCTGGTCAATAAAGGCTTTATTCCTGCTTAACAGTGATGATCTATTTTTTGGTCTCCAAATCACACTGGACAAGAATCCTCTGGAAATTTCTAAAGGAAAGGCTTTTTTTCTTTTCTTTTTTTTTTTTTACATGATAATCACAAAATGTAGAGGGCTGAGATCAACTTATTGGACTTTCCCATTCCAAATTGCTCTGAAATTTAAAGAAATGGATATGTCTTCATATATTGTGCATCAGGTTCTCCAAATATCTTCTCATGTGTAATAAAATTAACATGTCTCACACACGCACACCCACCCCTTAATCTCAACGCATGACACATAAATGATCACATCCATCATACACACATACATAATTAGGAGACTCAGGGAAAATGCTAAGATGGCAAGAAATCACTAGATTCTTTGGTTATGCCTTAATGACATATATTTCCTGGCAACTCGCCAATCGGCTTTGAAAATAATATCAGACTATGACCCAGTAAAGTCTTACAGCCTGTCCCTTGCTTTGCATGCACCATTAAGGCCTGTCACCAGTCTCCCACCATCTCAGGCATGCATTCCTTCCTTTGGAAACACGAAATGCCCCTAGATAAATGTACCCTTCTCCAGAGAAACACATTTCCCACTCAATTACAAATCCTGACTCAAAGCTAAAATTAATGCAGGCAGGCAATTGAGGGTTCTTAGAAAATTTCCTTTAAAATGACAAATGTGTGTGATGTGAAAGCCATCTAATAGGTCTGCATGCCGCAGTATTAAATTACAAACACCTGGGGTATTTATACAACGTATCCAATGGCTGGCAGATTAGAATCCTAGAAATAATACACGTCATAGCAAAAAATATACATATAATAGTCCACCTATAGTTTATATAAATGATGAAATGTTTCTGAATATATCTATATATCTACACACACACACACACACACACACACACACACACACACACTGTCTCTGTGTGAGTGGATTTGCAGAATCAGGCACACAAATACTGCAGTCCTCCATTGGCGCTTCCACTTTAGTGTCAAGAACATCGGGCTTCAAAGTCTTATGGGCCAGGACAGAGGTCACCGCTGAGGACAGAGCACTGGCTTGATGCACCTTCCCTTGTGAAGGACCAAGTTGGCTGGACAGTGGCAGCCAGCAACGCAGGGCTTGTTGCAAGGACCAATCTCATTCCAGTTGTCACAGGTCTTGATGCATCCTGGGCCACACGTATCATAAACTGCACCATGCTTGCATTGGGTGGCTGAAAAAAGGAAGAGACAGATGTGTGATGTGTTATTTCATCCTCAACCCAAAGCCATCGTTGCAAACTCCTGACATGACCTCTCCTGGGCACGGGTTCAGATATGCACTTCAGCAACAGAATAAAAATGCTTAACATTCCTTCAACACTCGGACCCAAAGGTCTCCAGAGCTCCAGAGCAAAAACAATAATACAAGCTTCTATTTCTAGACAAAATACATCCAACAATTTTAAAGCTATGGAGAAATCTATACACCTATTCAGTTAATAGGAACAGTATGCAAGACTAAACCCACGGAACTACAAGAAATAGAAATGCTTTGTGCACCTACAGCAGTATTTAAATACATGAAATTACAATACACAGGGAAAACACATCTAATGAGCATGTTGAAAATGTGTGACATGTTTTAATCAAAATGATCATCTGTTGAAGGAATCCATAAGAGGCAAGTCAGAGTTAGTGAGGAAGAGCCAGGAAAAATAAAACAAAACAACAACAACAAAAATAAGCAAATGGGTGACCAAGGGGAGGGTATCTGGGTTGACTGGCTAGAGAAAATGATGGCAATATTAGGGAAGCCACAAATAATTCTTGCATCTTTGTTAACTTGGGGCTAAAATAATTTTGATGGGAGTTCCTATAAATTCATGAAAATATTTCTTAGAATACAATAGCACAAATGTTCCGAAAGTTCTGTGATACACAGACTTTTCCACCTTAGTTACGCCCTAAGTGGTTCCTTCTCATGAATACAAACTCTGACACAGGTAGGGATTCAGAGAGGCACTTTCCACAAGCACCAAGAACAGTCCATGCTTCTACTGAATTTGCTCCAAATAGAAGCTACCAAGAGTGGAGGATCAGTAAGAGCATAATATACCTCTACTGCTGTTTGTGCAGTTTATAGAATATCTGTACTCATATTATATTGAGAATAACATCATACTAAACACTTAAATGCATATTTAGTTACCACAGAATGTGTTCGACCATTTTTTGTTACTAAGAGTACATTAATACTAACCATAAAATCAATTCTATGAAGGTATTTCAAAATCTGTTACTGTCGCTTTAAACAAATGAGAAAAGAGGAATCCAGTCTGAAAAGGATTCAACTACTTCTCACGAATTCCTGCTTCTTGGTAGAAAATTGTCAAGGAGAAAAAGAATTAGGAAACTATAGGTTTGAGGCATTTAATAAGATCAGAAAGTCTTCGTGAACCCAGATTTTAGATAGCTACATGTTGAACTAGCTGCCTGCACTCCTTTTCCAGGTGCGAACTGACCTTCTGTCTGGGACAAACTGCAGTTCTCCAGCTTTTCCTAACCATTTGTCAATGTCCCCCACTTCCCCAAAATTGCCTAACAGTACCCACGCCCCCTTTCTTACCTATCAGATAGTATAACTCTTATTAGTATCAATCATAATTTCTGACAAGCAAATGACACATTTATCATCCCTTGGAATTTTTAGCTTTTAATATGGTTGGCCACTATTGCATAAAAACCTTGGAGGAAATATTCAAGGCCTGCTTTTGCTTGCATTTTTACTGAATTATAATTCTAAGTAGCCACAAGTAATATAATTTTATCTGTTCTCAACTAGGTTTACTTCACTCTGGGTCAACAAACTGAGCTATATGACATCAAGAATTCTGGAAAAACAGTATACATTTCAAAAAAATTTGGTTCTATAATGAACATTTTCCTACCAGAAAATTCATATTCAGCACTGGTATACGTGTTTGTCCTTGCCCCAGTTGTTAACTGAATTAGCAGTTGTCACTATCAACCTGCTCTGAACAAAGACACTACATTGTTCAAGACCTTGTGGGAGGAGAACATGGTCACCAGTCTGATACACCAGAAGGCTGGGTTACCAGTAAATAATTTCCTATTATACTGAAACATCAAGTATAACCTTTTGATCCCTATATCCAGCCCCTCCCTCAATTGAGGTGTCTTCTCAAAGGAGATATCCTACGCAAAACAGCAGCTCCACATTTCCTACCAGAAAGCTCTTTTCCTTGTTTTTCTAATTTATATAAATCAATACATAATATTAACGGTCTCCTCTAATACCCCAAGGGTAGGGTTCCATCTGGCCTACTTCACTGGAATCTAGCACCTTTTCTGGCAGCCTAGAGGGGATTAGGTATGGAGGCCAGTACTCAGCATCTGCTTAGTAAATGAATGAGTCTTGAAGAAGTCCTAAACATGACCCAGTGGGGACCAGCTTCCATTTGCGTCTCCTGCATGCACTCTCAGCTTCTACACCCTGCCCTGGACCACGCTCCACATGGACATCCACAAATGACATAAGGGGAATCTCGGGGGAGCAGTGTATGCCAGCAGGAGAACAGAGTGAAAAATGTGAGGCTGTCAATGCTTGCTTGAGATCTCTCCTCGTGGGTCACCATGTGGGCCAATACTTCTTCAAGCAAAGGCCATTTCTCTTAGCCCTTGCTATGATGCCATCTCTGTCTCTGCTGATAGCTAACCCTAGTTTTATTGTCAGGCTCAGGGTAATAACAACAGGTCTGTTATACACTTATGACACTAAGACTTCTTTGTTAAGGAAATAAGACCTTTCAAAGTAATTGACCTACTTCCATCAGTAGGTGTGTACCTGGTTCCCAACACGCGCAGCTGATGATTCACAGAATGATTCCTTCTCTGTAGTACTGCACTCTCTAACATGACCTCCACAATGCAACTTCATCAGGATGTCTAAGAACTATTCACGATGTAATTCTATCCTTCAGGCTTCAAGGGAACCTCCGATAGCCAAGTCATTCCTAAAGATTTGTCCACCTTCATCTAGTATAATTTTCTAGCTTGATGAGTGCCGCACCATTCATCTCCCACTCTGCTCATTTAAATGCAGTTCCTGACTTTTGGCCCTACCTCTCAGTGACAAATGGGAGGTTGCTTGACTGTAGACTTAGAATATAGCTGCTCCATTATAATATAATGCTATAATATAATATAATATAATACCTCCATTACTGCATTTACAACACAAAATTACATCATCAGTTTCCTTCAATTTTTTTCTACCATCCCAACTAAAATAAACTGAGACTGTTCTATTTCTTCGTTCTCAGTAGTGGCATGATGTTTAACATGCAGCAGATACTCAAAAGGACTACCGGGTGATTAAACAGATGGATAACTGGGGCAGGGGAAGAGGGGGAACATCACCTAATTCTTACTTTAAGTCTTCCAACTGATGCTTCTCAGAGATAATCTCATGGCTTTTCACTGACGCTTTCAAAGCTCTTTGAGTGACTAACAGAAGACTTAGACATTGCACATGCCTAATGCTTTTTGGTCCGTCTGGCTGGGCATCATACCAACACCTAATACATACACCCATGTTTTGTGATGCTTCTGCAGACCAATGACGATCACAGCTGGGGTCAGAATCACTGGGGAACTTTCTGATGCCCCAATCCCACTCCAAACCAAGTAAAATAAAACTTCTGAGGGTGGCACTAGCATATCTGTAACAGCTAAATAGAAATCTTATCCCTTCCTCCTTGTCCCATAACAGTGATTCTAACTGGCAGTAGGATTGAGATTTGGTCCTATACATAGCATAGCTCTCACATTCATGCTTCAGTATTTGTAGAGATTTATTCCTTTTTAGCGAATGGGGCAACTGAGAGTCACAGAGTACACAACGTAAATTCCTAGTTTCTGGTCATTTTTGACTACTCCCTCAGCCCCAGATGACCCAGTGCTAGCTTAGGTCATCCGCATAAGCCTTCTTAGCTCTCTCCTTCTCATCTAAACCCTTTCTTGACCTGCCCTTTCTGTTATCTGCTCCCTCTCAGCCAAGCACCTGCTCTACTACTTGTTCTTTTACTTGTACATTAATTTTCTTCCTTCTTTGTTGTGCAAATAACATTCCCTAAGCTATTAGAATTCTTCTTCCCGATGCCTCCAACTTTCCTAGAAAAACTGTCATTTTACCTCATTCTTCCTTAACCCATGAACTATGATTTCAGTCTTTCTTTCACCCTTACACATACGCGTGCGCACACACACATACACACACACACACACACACACACACACACACACACACACACACACATTACTGAAGTCATTCCCTCTACAGTTTTCACTAATGACCATAATGTATCCACTGGCATGTCAGAAACTCCCCATCTCTTCAAGACCACTATCTGGAGAATCTAAAGTCTTTTCCTCCATTTTCACTATGACACAGGACAATTCTGGCTCTTCACTGACTCTTGGAAAAATCCTCTCTGTCTTGGGTTGTTTTGCTAATCCCTGGCATTAAATGTTTACATGGCTCCTGGATAATTCTACATCATGTTCCTTCCTTCCTTTTCCTTTTCTCTTCCCTCCCTCCATCCCTTATTCCTTTTCCCTCACTCCCTCTCTCTCTTTCTCCATCCCTTCCTTATTTCCCTCCTTCCTCCCTTCCTTCTTTTTTCCTTCCTCCCTACCTCCCTTCCTTTTACTTTTGACTGATCCCAACCTGACTCTTCACTCAATCTATTCGCTTTGTTTCTTAACTAGAATGTCATATCCTTCAAGACATTTCCTAGATGTCCCCAGGATGTCCTTCCCTCCCCAACATCACAGGGTACTTTTCAGGTTGTAGCTATCTATCTATTACGTGTTGAAATCCCCTAGCCGCAGTTCTTAGAGTCACTCATGAGTCCCCTGACGATATTTTAAAAGACACCAACTCCTTAACCCCATCCCTCCATCTGCAATGGAACCTGTTATCACTGTAGACTTTCTATGCTTTAGGGGGTCACCATGGCCAGCACCTCCAGTTAAAGAAGAAACTCCTGAAACTTGGGTTCCTGCGGGCCAAGCACAGAAGCCCAGCTCAATAAATGCCTATCGGAGGATGATTTCATCTTAATGACATGTAATCCATCATTTCATTTCCTGGTATGAATTCCATTTGGCTGGTCTCAACTTCATTTTCCACCCTGTTGCTTCCAGAATG